GTTCTTTACTAAACTCGAATTGCCGGTATATATCTCCTAATTATATTACGTTCCTGGTTTGAGCGCGACTACGTCGCACAGCTACCCTAATTAATAAATAATCAATGTCGTCATGCATGCATAACTCTAATCTCTAGTTAATGATTTGTTTATTTTGATTATTGGTATCCTCAAATATATTTAGTCGTTTGTCTCTTTAATAACTGCGAATTACTTAAGTCCTCTTAACGCGTAACTGCAATTAACCTTATATTTTACTTAAGCATAAACACGGCATTTGTTATCTATCAATTGTCTAGCATATTCGTTGTTAAGTAGATTAGTTATACCAAGCTTATAAGAGATAGCTTGGGTACAGTAGTACTTAATAACTATGCCATAATGTGTAAAAGCAAGAGTATATACTATATCAGTATAGTATAACTCGTTAAATAAGTATAGCATAGTGGGATATTAAAGAAATATAAGTTATATGTAATAATACATCGGATGAAAGCTGATATTTTTATTGTAGGTAGTTATCTTAATTAGATCTATCGGATAATTAAAATTTATTATTCGGGTTATAAAAATAACCAAATTTGCACGGATTACATGGTCTTCAGCCATGTAACGTTAACCCGTGCAAATTTAGTTATTTTTTACAACCCATACAATAACTATAATTTATTCTATCACAATGATTTCATCTATATTACATACAATATTCATCATTCAATATTAGTCATTCGTCACCATCATTACAGATTACTCGGGACGTCAGGTGTTTATGCATTAATAACCAGTTTTCAACGATTTCAAAGGAAAAATCGAATTTTTTACTTTTCTTAGATTTCTGCAAAAATGCTTCAAATTGCATATAAATCTATCAACTGTCAAATTTTTTTTATCATTATGGTAAACATGTTGCTTATGTATTCTGTTTGGTCATGTTATGATGACAGAATATTTAGAAATTGAATAATTTGCATTTAAAGATTTATATTTGCAGTTTATTAAAAACTTCTTAATTTGATTAGTACAATTATCAAGAAGATAAGAAAGCATTGAACTTTGACCAGGTACGATAGATTATTTCATTCGATTAATTTATTCTGATTAATTTATTTCTTCATTTATTTCTAATCCAATAAGTTCACTATCGAGGAAAATTATAAAAAAACATTAAATTATTATTTATTACATAATAAACAAATTTATGCTTACCTTGAAATTTAGAAATGCTATTGTGTGTGATGAGTTTACTTGTATATTTTGTTTTATCATATTTTTGGGCTGGAGCAGAGGGGAGCGGAGTGGAAGACCTTTCCTTACTCTACTAATTTGAGACGATGTCCGGCTCCCACCCCTGTAATGTTGATGTATTTGGCCTATTGTCCTCCCCCGTAGAAATTTTAATTAAAAGTCTGATCATTAACGTTAATAAATGTTAATCAGAAATCCAATCATTAAAGATCTTTAAAAAAAATAATAAATAAGGCTCCACTAAAGCCAACTGATTAATAACTTATTGTATTAAAGCGTAAAAACGTAAAAGAATTTAAACGCCTAAAAAACGGCTGTAAAAATGATACTAAAAGAAGATTAGCTTTTATGACAACTACAAGAACGGGCTATCGAATAATGAACCAACAAAAAGACAAGGTCGTAGAAAACGTCAAAAACATATTGTTAAGAAAATAAGCCCAAGTGATGAATACAATATTATTTTATATATTTACCAAATTGCAAATTATAATCATTTATTTTTAACTAAAATTTTCGAACCAAAATAGCTTGCCACTACTATTTGCATGCCATTTGCATGCCAGCTTTTTGATGACGATTGTAATCTTTTAAAGAAATTTCATAATGCAGTTTCTGCAATCAAATTTAATTCCTTTTTGTAAAGAGTTTTTTCTTACTATTGTATTAGTATATAAGATGGATTTCGGTATGTTAAAAGAAAAAAATTCTTGCTGAACTTCCTTAACTCGATCAAGCTAATGAAATGTTTGTTGCATAAATTTTTCCTATGTTAATTGTTTAATTATTAAAAACTGGAGCATATACAATATTTGTTCACGTGCATTTTAATTATTTACAATTAACAATAAACCAGTTACATCCTGTGTAGTTGGATACGTACAAACGAAAATTTATTGGTAGTATAACTGATATGGGTGATGGACTAGGAAAACCCGTCTTCGAAGGGGATTTTCCATTTTGAGAAAATAGCGATTAAATGTTTGTGTAACCTAAATTTTTGCTCCGAACTTTTCGTTTATTTTTAGATATCAGATTGACCAATCTACTTTAATTGAGCCGTCAATCATTTGCTACTGATCTATTTTTAGAACGCATACGTTTAAAGATTGGTCTGCCTTCAAGTTTAAATATCTCGATAAATTATTATATCAATATAGGATAAAAAGTGAAATACAAATAAACAGAAATTGGCACTTTATTTTGAATCAAAAATCTCGAAATTGATAAAAAGGTGCTGAAGACGGGTTTTCCTAGTCCATCACCCATATGTCGACAGTGTAAGCGGCCGATACGGTAATTATACTTTATCAGTAAATTTCCGCTTATACTTAACTGCCCAGAATATAACTATTACATATACAATCGTCACTCCCATATAATCACACCATATGTAATCACATTTATGTTTAACCAAACTATGAATTTATAAGAAAAAGACCTCCATATAATCACAACTTTTATATAAGCACATTTTGAAAAAAATTTACTATGCCCCAACTGTGTGATTTTATGGGAGGACGACTGTACCAACAAAGTAAATTTTACTATATATGAACTATTTAATGAAATGCATATACAGTAGATAATATAAGTTAATTTCATTTTCAAGTTTAAGTACCTCATAAGTAAGGCTCCAGCCCTATGAAACGACGCCGTTTTATTACTAGTAATATGCTCTTTCCTGGCAATTTTTGGGATGATTCGGATAATTCCAGTAGGATATTTTCGTCATCCTGCATTCTGTGAAAATATCATAAATATTTTCAGCTGATGGTCTGTTTCTTGGATTTCCATCCCAGCATCTTCGCATAAGATCTATATATCGTGAGGTTGTGTCTTCAGGAGTAGGAGGTCGTAATCCACCAATCACTTGAAATTGAAATTGAGTATTCTGTTCAAAAGGTACGGGCATTCCATGTAAAATTTCCCACATAATTATACCAAATGAGTAGATATCAAATGCTTTAGTATATGATTCTCCACTAAAAACTTCAGGTGCAATATATGGTAATACACCATAAACACCTGATTTTAATTTAATGTTAGCATTAATCGAAGGCCCTAAATCTGCAATATATGCGCTATGTAATTCATTTTGTAGTATATTCCCACTATGTAAGTCTCGATGAATAAGATCATGAGAATGAATTATCCGAAGATCAGAAATAATACAATGTAATAAAATTAATTTATTCTTCCATTACATTTGTGCTATGTGGTTTAGGTTATCACGCAAGCAACCAAACTTTGTATATTCCATAACGAGAATATAATCTTTGGAGATTTCATGCTTTGATATACCAAAACATTTGATAAAAGTTGGATTTTTGAGATCAATGTCACAATACGCTTTTAGCTTGTTAAAAGAATTGTTAGTATGTTATAGATGGTGAATCATAAAAAAAAATTCAATATGGATTACCTCTTTTATAAAATTTTCACTATAATTATTTGATCCATGAAGTAATTTAAGAGCAACAGCTCTTAACGTTCGAGTTTGGTCCAGCCATTTAGCATAGTATACAGTTGCAAGACCACCTTCACCTATTTCTGTAATATCTTTAAATTCATTAAAAGGAATCCGTGATAATTGATAGTTATTTTTGATAAATAATTTTTTCAAATCATCATCAATCTCAGAATTTTCGTGCATCCATTCATTTTTAACTAATAAATATAAATTTAGCCGTTTTATATTATAATTAAAAAAAATTGATTATAATATATAATACCTGATGCTAAACGCTTTTCCCTAATTTCGGATGAATTCATTAGAAAATTATATAACAATAATAAAATAATAAATTAAAATTTATTTTAAAATATATTTACTTTTGATACCAATAATCAGCTTTATGCAGGTCTCTTGTTACTCCAACCCATTTCCATAACAATAACCGACTTGAGACATTCCAATAATATATCCCATATCAGCGGATTTCTTATAATCGTTAAATGCTTTTACTTCATTCTTTTCGACCTCGATCCCGTAATGATAGTAAACGCCAACTTGAAACATTCCAGTAGCACTTCCCATATCAGCAGATTTTTGGTAATATTCAAATGCTTTGCGTTTATCCATTTCGATTCCAACCCTGTCATGATAGTAAGCACCAACATGAAACATTCCATCAGCGTTTCCCATATCTGCAGATTTTTTATAATAACTAAATGCAATACGAATACTCTTACTGACACCGATTCCACGTTGGTAACAATAACCAACCATAAATAATCCTTGTGCATTACCATTAACGGCAGATTTCTGATAATATTCGAATGCCTTATGTTCATCTTTTTCAACTCCTATTCCATTTAGATAACAATAACCAACTTGATTTATTGCATAAACATCCCCCATCTCTGCAGATTTCTGGTAATACTCAAATGCGCCTTTTTCAACATTTATCATTGGAGATAGATTCATTAATCCAGAAGTATCTTCGATACCTCTTCTACGACTGTCCACGTAAGCAAAATATTTACGGAATTGTTGAAATAAATTTTCAACAAGATCCGGTTTAACTAGATATTTTCCAGAGGGTAGTGCGTTTAATTGATCTTCTACCATGTATTTCATACTTAATAGGCGATATGTTCCTTGACATGATCTTGTATAATGCCAAATGTATGGCAATATTTCGTCAACTTTTTTGTACATCGGAATAAATTCTTGTAGTTTAATCCTTATTTGTCTTTTGTCATCTTCAGAAAGGTCAAAGTCGTGATATTGAATCTTTATTTCTCTACCTTTACTATCTATTCGATTTATCATTGCTAATGCTTCCTTCTCCTCTTTCTCGGTCAACGTTGCTAGTGGCCCATATAGTGGTCTATTTATAATATCTAAAAGACTATTCATTGCAATAGCATTTTTAAATTTTGATAATATTCGAATGCCTCATGTTCATCCTTTTCAACTCCTATTCCATTTTTATAACAATCACTAACTTGAAACATTCCATCAGCATTACCAATATTAGCAGATTTCAGGTAATATTCGAATGCCTTATGTTCATCTTTTTCAACTCCTACTCCATTTAGATAACAATTACCAACTTTATTTATTGCAAAAGAATCTCCCATATCTGCAGATTTCAGGTAATATTCGAATGCTTTATGTTCATTCTTTTCAACTCCTATTCCATTTAGATAACAATTTCCAACTTGATTTATTGCAAAAAAATTTCCCATCTCTACAGTTCTCTGATAATATCCGAATGCCTTATGTTCATCCTTTTCAATTCCTATTCCATATAGATAACAATTTCCAACTTGATTTATGGCAAAAAAGTCCCCCATCTTTGAAGATTTCTGATAATATTCAAATGCTTTATGCTCATCTTTTTCAATTCCTATTCCAACTTGATTTATTGTAAAATAAATTCCCATTTATGCGGATTTCTGGTAATATTAGCATAGCGAACATTCATTGTGATTGGCTAGATTTTGTTGATCATCTTGTGATTTTATTTGCTGATCGACCAAT